CACTACTTTTGGTGCGATTTGCATAGACATCTGTGTCAGATATCATGCAAATTGCCCCTCAAATTGGCATGACATCTGACTTTGAGATCGTGCGACTTCACTGTAAGACGCACGATTTAAAAGTTAGGATCAGTGTAACCGGAGAGTAAGGGATCATGTACACTACAGCTGCTAAACTGACATTCAGCACCTGTTCAGCGTTTTGCTCAGCAGCCCCTGAACTCTCCCTAATGTTTTCCTATGTGTCCATGTACACATCTTCGTTTACAGTCATTTACAGGCAGTTTACAGTCATTTTTTTTAACGCACCAAACTTGCGTTCAGGAGTAGATTTTACCAGAGTTTCAAGCGCCAAATGCTTGTAAACACTTGTAAACGTGGTTAACCGCGTTTATAAATGTTTCCGTTTAGAAGCGTTTTTAACTGTTCCATATCCAGATGCTTTCCAGAACATTTTTTCATCATCAGAAATGCATGCAAAGTGTTTTCCATGTATTCAAAATGGACCCGGTACACCAGCGCAGTCAGTTCCAGGTTTTGCGTGAAGGAAAAAATGGTAGAATGTGCCGCATTATGCTCATGATGGGATCCATAGTGAATACAACCAGAAAAGACAGGTCATCAAGGTCATACTGCTCTCTCTGCTTCTGCTCTATTTCTCTCCAAAATGTCTGAAATAGTTAATTATTTACTATTTTTCAATGTATTCTGGGCATTTGGGAAGGTCTCCTGAGGTTATCTTTTAAAAACATTTCTAAACGCAATCGCACACAAACGCGCATAAACGTGGTATGCAAACGTGGCTAAACTCCCGTTTTTTTAACCTACGTTTTCCAGCAGTCAGTTTCCATTGTTCAGAAGAGTTTTCCAAATGCCCCGTGTACATAATCCCTAAGTGTGTTATTTTCTGCTGTCAAACACAATGCACGTTTGGCTGCGGATAGATAACCTTGGACACAGCACTTTCCTTCTTTTCCTAAACGTAGTTAAACTATCTGCAGATAAATGTTGCTAATCGTGGTATGAATAATATCATTACTTTGCATCTCTTAGATTGTAAGCTCCAAAGAGCAGGGCCCTCCTATCCAGGGGCGGACTGACCATTTGGAAACTCCAGGTCCCGGGGTCAGTAGGGGCCCCATGAGATGCCCCTGGTACCTTTTTCATAGGCTTTTTTGAGTTTGGGCAAGGACACAGGGGCCCCATGATCCCCTATTGCCCGGGGGCCCCATGAGTTGTCAGTCCGCCCCTGCTCCTATCCCTCTTGTATTGAACTGTATTGTTGCTGTATTGCTGTATTGTCTCCCGTTATATTGTAAAGCGCTGAGCAAACTGTTGGTGCTATATAAATCCTGTATAATAATAATAATAATTGTGTGAGTCCAGCTGATTTTACAAAAGTCTTCTAAATGCACCTAAACCTAAAATTTAACTTGCGGTTTTCACAAAATGCCTCTAGGTGGAGACATATTACAGCTGCAATATTAGTATATACTAGATGTATACTGTATGTTCACAGTGGAAAAGAAACAATGTAACTACTGCATGAAGAAATGTATTCAATGAATTACTCATGGATAAAAGGGATGAAATAATACTCAAAAATAATAATGATCCAGCTAATATCTTAAAATATACCTATAAGCAAAACTTTTCTTTGTTTGGATAGAGCAAGGGAGAGTTATAAGCGTTATCAGATTTTTTTCACCATCTGTGTCCCGTTTCTGAGATTTCCCTTCATTTCCTGTACCATAACTAAACAAGAAGTGAGAGGAAATCCGTGCAAATGAAGGGAATCCCTTGGAGACTCCTAGGTCACCAGAACTAGTGTCCCCATTAGAAGATTTCCCCTCTATTACTGTTCTGGGAACAACCCAACATTTGGGGTTTACGTTCACTTTCACTAAATCCTAATGGCACCCCTATGTACTGTAAACTGCAGCGTGACTTCCTGCACTGGGAACTGCCTAAAATATCATGTAAAAAAGTGGAATAAAATTGTACAATGAAATTACAGCATATGAAATACATAAAATGGTTGATTTACTAAAGGTAAATAGGCTGTGCACTTTCAGTGCACTTGAAAGTGCACTGAAAGTGCAGTTGCTCTAGATCTGAGGTGAACATGCAAGGAAAATAAAAAAAAAATGGATAAAAAAAATCAGCAGAGATTTTCCTCATTTCAGAGCTTCCCCTCAGATATAAAGCAACTGCACTTGCAGGTGCATTTGTGGTGCATGGCCTATTTGCCTTTAGTAAATCAACCCCAAAGTATAGAAATTGTATTTATAAGAAAAGTGTGTGTGTTTGTAGATATATGCAGTATCTAAAATGTATAGCATTAAATTTCTAACTATATAAATGAATATGTAATAAACTGAAAGAATAACGCACTATCAAAATACAAGGCTTGAGCTCCCCTCTGTTCTCCTGGTGGATCTCCCTGCTTGTCAGGAGTTGTAGGACTACGTGCATTCCCCTGCCTCTGGATCCATTCTTTGGACTTTTTATGGACCAACCATTTCCCTTATCAACTCTGACTCACATAGTACTGTGTGCTGGTTTTTCCTTTTGTACTGATTGATTTCTACACTGTTCAAAAAAATTAAAGGAACACTTTAAAAACACATCAGATCTGAATGGGGAAAATCTCATGCTAGATATCTATACTGATATGGACTGGGTAACGTGTTAGGAATGTAAAGATGTGCCATCGTTTGGTGGAAATGAAAATGATCGATCTACAGAGGACTAAATTCAAAGGCACCCCGAAAGTCAATGTGAAAAAATGATGCAGCAGGCTAGTCTATTTTACTGAAATTTGATTGCAGCAACTCAAAATGGTAGTTTGTATGGCCCTCATGTGCTTGTATGCATTCCTGACAACGTCAGGGCATGCTCCTAATGAGATGCCGGATGGTGTCCTGGGGTATTTCCTCCCAGATCTGGACCAGGGCATCACTGAGCTCCTGGACAGTTTGAGATACAACCTGGCGGCGTTGGATGGACCGAACCATGATATCCCAGAGGTGTTCTATTGGATTTAGGTCAGGCGAGTGTGGGGACCATTCAATGGTATCAATTCCTTCATCCTCCAGGAACTGCCTGCATACTCTCACCACATGAGGCCGGGCATTGTCATGCACCAGGAGGAACCCAGGACCCACTGCAGTGAAGAGCCTGACAATGGACCCAAGGATTTCACACCCCCCACCCCCGATAAAAGACAAATTAACCTCTGGGGAGAAGAATAACAACTAACTAGAAATCTTGGATGCACATATTTTTTTTATAAACACCACAATTGGAGCTCATGTTGGATCTGTTTATAGCCACTCTAACAGACATATATCTCTTATCCAAGCCATGCAAATAATTTTTATTGAATCTTTTTACAATTAGACATACCTGTATTGAATCAAAAGTTATGCAAGACCAGAGAGAAGTTAAATCAAAGAAAAAAAAAAAAAGGTTAGGAATAATAGCAAAGACAGATAAAAAGAGACCAGCATAGTTATACAAAACCACAGCAATTATGTAAAATATGCCTATAGACTTTGGAATGCAAACCCTGGATGGGAAGTGACCAGGAGGAGGTCCAGATACTCCAAGTAAATTCTCTCTGAAGCTTTCGCACAGTCTTTTGGACATTGACTGATAGTCTGTGTTGATGGTCCCTTTACCAGAAGGTTGTCCAGGTAAGCCACTATCGGATTTCCCTGGGAACAAAGAAATGCAAATACAGGAGTGAGCACCTTGGAAGACTCAAGGTGCCATGCACAGTTCAAAGGGCAAATAATTGGTAATGTTGTGAGCCACGTGCAAAATGCAAGACATTCTGATGTGCTTGGAGGATGGGGACATGTAAATAAGCATCTTTAATGTCAACTAAAGCCAGAAAATCCTCTGGCTGTAGTGAGGCAATGACTGATTTGCTAGATTTTGATATAGAAGGTGTTGAGAACCCTCAGATTCAAGATAGGCCGATTTCCACCATTGGGATTTTGGACTGTAAACATTCCCAGTGCAGTATGGAGATTTGTTAGCCTTTTTGGGGATGTTTTCAGGTTTGACAAAGTAAAGCAGGGTAGGGGAAGAGAGCAAAACTCTAAGGCTGCTTTCAGACTGAGGAGTTTTTGAAGCGTTTTTGCGCAAAAAAAAAAAAAAAAAAAAAAACGCCTGAAAAGCTAAAAAAAACTGCTTCCCTATTTATGTGAATGTATAGCTATGAATTATTATTATTATTATACAGGATTTATATAGCGCCAATAGTTTGCTCAGCGCTGTGAGCACTGAGGCATTGCACTTGCGGTGCTGTGTAAAAACTCCGCTCCAAAAACACACCGCACATGTGGGAAGGTCTGGCTGTTTCAGCTGTCAGCGGGGCTCCCAACGCTGGCTCCTGCCAACTTACTGCCCGGCTGGTTTGACAGTTCCTAAATATGTAAGGGGCGGGGCCATACGGTGACATCACCTGCATGACCCTGCCCCCGTGTGACATTAACCGGGGCATGCTGGGTCAATGATGTCACAAGGGGGTGGGTTCACATACATGACAGCCCCGCCCTTTACATATTTAACCACTAGCCTACAGGGCACTTATACCCCTTTCCTGTCCTGGCCATTTTCCAGCTTTCAGCGCTGTCACACTTTGAATGACAATTGCGCGGTCATGTAACACTGTACCCATATGAAATGTTTATCATTTTTTTGTGACAGATAGAGTTTTATTTTGGTGGTATTTAATCACCTCTGGGTTTTTTATTTTTTCTTAAACAAACCAAAAACCACTGAAAATTTTGAAAAGAAAGTTTTTTCTTAGTTTTTGTTATAAAATTTTGTAAATAAGTGTTTCTCCTTCACTGATGTGCGTTAATGAGGCTGCAGTGATGGGCACTAATAGGCTGCACTGATGTACACTGATAGGCGGCACTGGTAGGTGGCATTGATGGGCATTGACAGGCATCACTGATGGGCACTGAAAGGCAGCACTCATATGGCTCCGATAGGTGGCGCTGATAGGTGGCACTGATAGGCGGCACTGATAGGCGGCACTGACAGGCACTGTTAGGCCGCACTTAAAGGCAGCACTGATGCACACTGATAGGCAACACTGACTGGCACTGATAGGTGGCACTGACTGGCATTGATAAGTGGCACTGATTGGCGATACTGAAAGGCAGCTCAGATGGGCACTGATATGTGGCATTGATGTGGCACTGATGGCAGGTGGCATGGATGAGCACTGAGAGCTGGCACTGATGGACACTGACAGGTGGCACTGCTGGGGCTACACAGATCATTAGGGCACACTGATCATCAGTGCTCTGATGATCAGTGTACATGTCCCCTCCGAGGAATGCCGATTACCGGCTCTCTTCTCCTCACGAGCTGTCAGCGTGACAGCTCATGAAGAGAAATGCCGATAACCGGCATTTCCCAGTTTACATGTGATCAGCTGTGATTGGACACAGCTGATCGCATAACCGAAATGACATCTTCGGCTCTTTCCGTGGATCAATGGTCCGCTGTGTCCGAGGGACACAGTGCACCGCCGATCGCCACGCTGCATGCTCCGGGAGACATACATGCGTGGTTAGAATGGGAGGACGTTATATGACGTCCTCCCAGAACAAGACTACCACCTTGCGTCCATCATTTTACTATATGGTGGGCGGGAGGCCGTTAAGAACTGTCAAGCCAGAAGAGTAAGCAGATGGCCGGAAGCCAGCATTGGGAACAGAGTCTTCTTTTTTTTTTTCTTTTTTCCTGTCAGTGGCGGCGGTGGGCATCGTGATTAACATTGGCTCTTCTTCGGGGAACATTCTTTTATTTTCCTTCTTTTAATAAAGGACTTGTCAAAGACTGTCTCCTGTCTTTTTTCACACTACAGCTTTTTTTGGTGAATGGGTAGTAGTACCATGTACCTCATACTTATTCACATGGGGGGCTTCCAGATTCCAATAAGCCCCCCATCCGCAGACCCCCACAACCACAGCTCAGGGTTGTGAGGAAATGGCCCTTGTCCCCATCAACATAGGGACAAGGTGCTTTGGAGGGGAGCACCCCAAAACACCCCCCCCCCATATTGAGGGCTGCATGCTCGGATAAGGGTCTGCTATGGATTTTGGGGGGGGGACCTCACACCATTTTTTTTTTTCCGAGTGTTTTTTCCATTTTTTTACATGGCCGAGTGTAAATGTACCCTAAAAGGGAATTGTAAGATAAAAAGCCAAATTGTTGGGCAAAAATGTCATTATGTTCATTCTCTGTGCTCTAGAAATAGTTGAGACAGCTTATCACACATGTTTAGGACCACCACCTAAAGTCACCAAACAAGACACTAACAGGGGCCGACTGACCATCTGAAAACTCAGGCACTGCCCGAGGGCCCGGGGTCAGTAGGGGGCCCCATGAGATGCCCCTGGTACCTTTTTCATAGGCTTTTTTGAGTTTGGGCAAGGACACAGGGGCCCCATGATCACCTATTGCCCGGGGGCCCCATGAGTTGTCAGTCCGCCCCTGGACACTAACATTACTCTAAAATTCATCACCCTGTTCAATTACACATAACATTGCATAGAACATTTGAAAAACATTTGCATACATAAGTCCAAGCCCTTCCTTTCTTTCTTCCATAGTCTGGTTGGGATCTATCATTGCAGAAAGAAAAAATGTTTGAGATGTCGGTTCAAGTACAAGCAAGAAATGTTTGAGATATAGGTTCATCAAGCAAAAAATGTTGAAAAGTAGTACTGGTAAAGAATGTACTATTAAAGAATTTTTCAGTTGCTCTGAAGGGTACATTATCTATGGTCACAGCTGTCTCTGTGGCCCGTTTTACAATAGTCAGACCTTTGGAGCATGTATCGTAGACTTATTAAACAAGGCAGCTTTGATCACAGTGTCCCATGTCACTTTGCACCGAAAACACACTAAATCTACCAAAGGGCTAGGAGTCATTATTGAATCCATTCTCTTTCATTTCTCGCCAGCTGAAAGATTTGACCTGAAATTTACTGGATTTACATATTACACAGTTTAAGCCCATAGGTTTAATGAAGAATCAGAAATAAGCACCAGCCTCTTCCAATTTTAGTCATCCCTTAGGAGACGTGTTATTTTGATTCCTGATGCATCGCTAATTTATCCCTCCAAGCCTGTGGTGTACATTTATTGCACCGTTTCATATCAATTTTATCATATATATTATTCTGTTACACTTTTAGGCATTTATGTTTGTGCTAAGATAACAGCATGATCCAGAGGGAGATGAGGGAGTACTACTGCATTTAGAGATTGATCACAAGGTGTTTTAATGTGAATTGCTGACTTGTTTTTTCATAACCAATTAAAACATTGGGTGGCCATAGAGGACTTTATGTACACTCTTCCCATAACATCTCAACCTTGGATTTTACAAAGTAGCCAACCCAAGCATTCTCTTGCCTTTTTGATGGCCTCGCTTTTGACGATGTGGGATTCTGTGGTACTCAAATATGGCATTTCTTCATGGCTCGCGTTCCTTGATTATGGGCAATCCCAAGTTGACTCTCTCTTTTAGTGGTGATCCTTCTCCCTTTCACCAATTAGACAGGCGCTAAGTCCTTTCATCCTGAATTCCTTGCAGGACCTGTCTCCTACAGGTCTTTTATACCCAGGTAACTGGCTTCATTATCTTCAACTTAAACACCTTTATACACATTTCTCTGGTACTGGATGCCTATCCAAAGACTTAACCCTCTTTGAATCTATATGCCTCAACCAAACTGAAAGTCCCCATACTATATCACAAATGTATAACATCCTGCTTTTCCATGCATACCCACTCAGCCCAGGAAGATGGGGAAGGGTAACGAGGTCAGGTTCTCTCCGAGGAAGATTGTGAGAAATACTTTTTCCGAACATTCAAATTCAAGTATTGCCAGTCAAGTACAGGACAGAAATGATAAATTAATAACCATATGGTATAAATGTCCTACTATATTACATAAGATGCTTCCTTCATTTATTGACCGTTGTTAATACTAGCACCATGCTTCATATCTGGCGGTCCTGTCCCCTTATTAGACTGTCCTGGTGTACTATCTTCAAATTATGCCAGCAGATTAATCTATGCAGCCTAAAGTTGGAGCTCAACTGCTGGAGCCATTCTGGATCTGAAGCTGGCAAACATGGAGCACTGCTGATCATAGTGCACTGTAATACAGAACACCCAAAGTAAAGCCTGCTTTCCATACATCAAACAGCACCTACAGAAGCCTCAAAACTTATGGAACAAAATCATTTGGAGTAATGAGATCAAAACTGAACTTTATGGTAAAACCATAAACACCATGTTTGGTGAAGAGTCAACAGGGCCTAACCACATCATACATACAGGGAAGCATGGATGTGTTTAGGGATTGTTTGTGGATCTCCAAATAGGACACAGAAGCTCCGTATAAAACATACCTGGACTTTCAAACATGACAATGATCTGAAACATAAGGCCAAATCGACTCTTCAGTGTGCATGAAAATGTGACGGTTCTGAAGTACATCACAATTTGCTCACTTAAACATAGAGCTAGTCGGAGGGCATCTCAAACATGTAGTTCATGCAAGACAATTACAAAACCCTGAGGCTATATGCTTAGAGAAATGGCATATGAGAAATTAAAGGTCCTCATTCAAAAGTATCAAAACAGACTGCAAGTTATTATTGATTCTAAAAGTGGCAATGTACAGTATTAGATTTTTTTTCTCTTTATTGCTATGGTTCGTTCAATGATTGTGCTATTATATGATGCCTATTAGTTTGATTTTAATCACATTTAAAAAATAATAATGATTGCGTTTGGTCTTATCACTCCTGTGTTTTCCTAAGACGTGGACCACATCTTACATGCTAGGGGTATATAAACTTATAAACAAAGCTGTAATTGCCTGAAATCTATCAGTCCACTGTACTCTCTACCAATCAAAACGCATATTGGATCCTAATCTCTTAGAACCAATGGCCTGAAAGTGCACATTTGTCTCTAACAGTTGGCCTTCTCAAGCTAAACAAATCACTCCTCACTACTTGCAATGATAGTTATCCATAGCTCTGTACCCAGGAGTATTAAGCTTCAAAAAGTATTGGTGATGCTCTTACTGCTTTCCACTTTCTTGTACAATTTTCAGAAGAAGCACATAATAAAACTTGGTGTACCACTTTTTTTTTTTTTTTTTTTAGAGGGAGAGCATGAAAGAAAAGTGGCAGTAATTTTGTTATAAAAGGACCGAAAGGGATACTAAGCAAGATGGTGAGTCTCATGTTTAAACACAGATAAGGTGTTGGGAGGATTAAAAGTCTTATCTATCATTACAGAGTACCTTATGATCCTCAGTGTTTATCTCCGTGTTGTCGGTGGTTATAAGAAGCCAACAGCAGTATTCAACTTAAGTTGCCCGAAATTCAGCCCGTTCAGCAGGGACTGGCAAAATATCGATCAGTGTGTAGCCATCCTTGCTTGACACAAGTCAGATATTTGATTGACTTCTGTCAAAGGGACATGGCAGAAAATGTTCCCATATCAGTGGCTGCAGCTGCTGATTAGCGTATTCAGTGGCAGGTGCTGCTGTCAGAATACATTGTCCCAGTTGCAGGATTCCTCCATCCTCCTCATTCATGTGAATGGAGGGATCTGTTACATTTTTTGTTTTGTTCATACTTCTGAAGAAGGGATCTCTTGCACCATGGTATTCAGGGGCGGACTGACCATTTGGAAACTCGGGCACTGCCTGAGGGCCCGGGGTCAGTAGGGGGCCCCATGAGATGCCCCTGGTACCTTTTTCATAGGCTTTGAGTTTGGCCAAGGACACAGGGGCCCCATGATCCCCTGGGCACTGCCTGAGGGCCCAGGGTCAGTAGGGGGCCCCATGAGAGGCCCCTGGTACCTTTTTCATAGGTTTGTTTTGAGTTTGGGCAAGGACACAGGGGCCCCATGATCCCCTATTGGCCAGGGGCCCCATGAGTTGTCAGTCCACCCCTGATGGTATTGTATTCTGATAGCGGGAACCCCCTCCATGTCAGAATACACTGCTGGTCATCTCTTTCCACAACTTCCTTTTTTCCCTGCATGCTTTGCAGTTTTTCCTCTGCTGTTTACTTTCAAATTCTAAGGACTATATGTCACATGGTACCTTGCTGTTTGTGATGCCTGTACTGACTCCACCTCTTGAAACTCCTCCTCTCAGCACCTCTGTAGTTCAGAAGGCAGGCTCTGTGAAATGTGTGACACAGCAATGACTACCTGTGTGGTTTCCTGCAGTAATACACTTGTATTTTACTGTGTATAAATGCATGTCATTCAGAATTCCCATTCATTACCATAGGACTAAATCACACCCAGGTGGTGCAGCTTAGTGGGTTTTACCAAAGCAGGATATGCAGCATTATTATGTGTTTGTGGTTTAATGTGATATTGTGGCTAAATGGTTAGCATTTCTGCATGGCAGTTTTAGGGTCACTGGTTTGAATCCCAACCATGGCACCACCTGCCTGGAGTTTGCATGTTCT